TGAATGGCGTTTAAGGCCTGTTAACACAGATGTTATACGCGTTTAGGAAACTCTTCTAAGAAGTAGGCAAACTAGGCGATCTCGTCAAAGAGGCACAGGACACGAACTGTTTCGACAGATTCCATCCAAAAAAAAAAAAAATTGATTAGTGTCATCCAGGACTAATTTAATAGTTAAAATGCGTCGAATATTCAGATGTTAATTGCGTCAAGATTATCACTTCATTATCTATAGGTGATGGCCGGATTTTCGAGCACGCCATTACGAGAAACTCATGTCGGTGTTTTGACAGATCTTTTGTTCTGCCTCGGTGTCGCGGGTGGGAATCTTCTGTGCTCGACAGCGAGGAAACGTGTGAGAGATGACCATTCATTTTCGATCGATGCTAGATTTTGGGTTTTTGTTTATTAATTTTTTTTCAATTAATTTTTTTTTTTGATGATTGTATGATTAATATAAATAGTTTTCATCATTTTTAAATTTTTTTATTTTTACTAATATACATAATAATTTTTTTCGCTTTTTCTTAATTTTTTAATATTATTATTTTTTTTTATTATTATTTTTTTATTATTATTTTATTATTATTATTTTTTTTTAATATTTTTATTTATTATTATTTTTTATTATTATTTTTTTTTATTATTATTTTTTTTTATTATTATTATTTTTTTATTATTACTTTTCTGAATTATTATTTTTATTCTTTTTGTATTAATTTTATTATTGTTCTATATTATTTTTTATCGTTATTTTTATAATTTTTTATTATTATTTTTATTATTTACTATATTTATTTATTATTGGTATTTTTATTTTTCTGTATTATTTTTTAATTATTATTTTAAATTTTCTCATTATTATTATATATATATTTTTTAAATTATTACTTTTTTTGTTATGTTTTTATTATTTTTATGTTACTTTTTTCATTATTATTGTTATTTTAATTTTGTCCATATTATTTTTATATTATTTGTTTATTATTTTTATATAATTTTGTTTTTTATTATTAAATTAATATTAATAAATATTAAATTTATTATTGTTTTATATATCGTTTTTATTGTGTTTTCTATTTTATATTTATATTTTTATATTTTTTATTATTATATTTTTTTTATTTTTTTTATTATCATTGTTAATTATTATTTTTAATTCATTTAAGTAAATTTCTTTATGGTTTTTATTAATTCTTATTTAATTTTTTATTCATAATTTTCTGTTTTCATTTATATTCCTTATTAATTTTATTAGTTTTTTCAACAGATTTTGGAATAAATTTTTTATATTTATTTTTATTAATATTTTTATTACTTTAGGCATTTTTTCATAATTAATTTATTTTTTTTAATTTTTAATCAGTATATTTTTTATTTTCTATTAATTTCTTATTAAATTTTTGGTAATATTATTAATTAATAAATTACTCAATTTTTGTTATCAATTTTTTTTTTAATTAGATATTGATACTTTTATTAAATTTATTTATTTTTGTTCGTTTTTTATAAAATTTTTTATGTTTTTAATTTTATTTTTAAATAAATTTTTAACGCTTTTATTTTTAATTAAAATAATAAATTTAATTAAATAAAAAAATTGATTTTCGATTGGTGGCTTTTTTGTTTTTTTAATAATTTACGCATTATTTTTTTATTATTAATTTTTTGTACTATTGTAGTTTTTTAATAGTTTTTTGTTAATTTTTTATTATTTTTATTATTATTAAATTTATTTTTGGGTCTATTTTTTATTTTAGTTTAAAATTTTTAATTTATTTAATATTTTTTTTTATTTATGCATTTCTTTTTATTGTTTTTTTTCTTTCATGTTTAATCAAGTAGTAGGCCTTTCTAATTATGTTTTCATACTTACATACGTGCACGCAAATGTTCTTTCATATTTTTTTTTTTTGCTCACATTTGTTGTTGTTTATTTGTTATCGAGTATAGCGCACGTGTCCATTACTGCTACATATTTAATGTATTTTTATATCTTTTTTTCGCTTGTTACTGATATGCCTTTGGTTATTTATGTTTTTTTTATTTATACATACTTACATGCATACATACACACATATATATGTATATATTTTCCTTAGAAATTTCATTCAAAATTTGCAATTGATGGCATTCAGTGTGAAGAGTTCGACGTTATTTAAGAATTATTTTTAGAATTTCTTAAAGAAAATTACACACGCAGACAGCTATTTACACATTTAACTATATAAAGCGATATATTTAGAAAGTACGGCAAGTGCAACGTTTCCTTTCACATTGAGATGATTTTAAATATAATAATAATAATTTATTAAATCAACTGTGCCTCAAATAATTAAACAATTTTGATAGATTTTGTCTTAAAAAAATTTTACGTAATATTTTTAAAAATAAAACAAATAAAATATGGCAATATTTTTTCTAAAGAAAGGGTGCATATTTTTTCAAACTCTCTTTTTTGCCAAAATATAATAAAAAAAACGACGAAAACTTTTCGCAGAATTTTGTAAGTTTAACAATAAAAAAAAATACATAATAGAAAATAAAAATAGAAAAAATTATTTGCAAATACATACATACATACATATGTATATATAATTAATTTTGTCGTGACATATGTACGTATGTATGACAAACATTGAAAATACATACACTAAAAATAAAAATAAATAAACAAACGCATTGGTTGACTGCTTTTATAGTTAACTTATAAGAGATTTGCTGTTATAGATAACTAAGTGTGTATGTATGTATATACATATGTACGTATCTAGTGCTCTTCGTCGCATTATCGATTCCGAGAATTTTTCTTATCACACAACGCGTACATACAACACATTATAGTGTATTTGCATGTATTTAAATGAGCTGATAGCAATTTTTTTTTCTATTTCGTGAAGTAATTTCTATGAATTTCTATATCTACTCCTTTTTAAACACCTTTATTATTATTAATTTATTTTATTGTATTTTTTTTTAGAAGGTTCCTATAGATAAGCTGAGTCTACATAAACCAGGCATATGTGTGTACAAACGAGTATGTGTATGTATGTATCTCATTTTTGGAATATATATATACATATATTTGTATTATGTATTATATTGTATATATCTAGCATACATATGTACATACTTAATAGTGAAAGTGTTCCATCTTTCAGCTAATTGCAGTAGTTGAATATTAGATAAGTATCGCATGTAGATAGACATCACAATATGTACATAGTATGTAGGAACATTTGTGTGTAGGTAGTGCGCGTAGTGCTGATAGCAGCTGCTGGCGCCAAAAATAAAACAATTTATGGCCAAAAAAAAAAAAATATAAGAAAAATTAAATTTATTGCACACACATGCATGCATACATAGGTAGAGAAATGCATTCATACATATGTAGTTACATACATACATACATACAAACATACATATGTACGTTTATTAGTGGTATATGTATATAGGTAACTTGTTATTATAATTTAAATATATGACCTAAGTACTCGTAAGTATGTACATATGTGTGTATGCATGTCAGCTTATAGGTAACTACTATTGAACGACTTTGAATATTTAATTGCATAACGCTTAATATGTAATAATATATGTACATACATAATTGTATATACTGTATTCAGATGAAAGCATAAAACAATATTTTTAAGTTTTTTTTTCATTTTTTTAACACAGAAATAACTACAATAAATTAACGCAATTGAAAAAGCTAAAAAAAATTAATAAGAAGTAAAAAATTTAATTTTAATAAAAATTACAAATTATGCTTTGATAGAGCTGTGATCATGTATTTGTTCCGCCAAGCTGTATCTACATTTTACATACTTAAATATGTATGTATGTATGTATGTATGTATGTATACACTACTCATACATAAATGGCTTTACTGAGTATACGCAAAGTACTACAAACTCTTTTGTGCAATAACAAGTATGTATGTATGTACATATGTACGACAAAAGATAAAAATTATATGTGTGTATGTAATTCATACTTTTTTTTTCGCAAAAAACAACAGTAAGATTTGCAGTGTTTTAGGTAGAGATTACGTTTCGGAATTATAGGTATGCTTATCACATATACATACATATACACATATGTTCATATATTGCAAGAACCAGCAAGCAGCAAAAAGGGATTGTTAAATTTACTTGACGAAAGGTATATTCCGGCGCACACACCTTATCGTTGTTGTCTTTCATTTCCTGTTACTTTGTTGAATGACGTCGTAAAATATCATATATGTAAACCAATTTTATTAACGTAATATTTGAAGACAAAGAATGTAATTTTTTAGCTTTGCTTTTAGCAAAATATAATCGGTATTATCTTGATTTTTATTTTGTTTTCCTTTTAATGATCTTGTACGCACAACTTCATTATATTGTAACTTGTAATTGCCATTAAATCTGCTGCTTGCTCGTGGGTGTTAGTTAGAGACCGCCATTATTTTCGTTAGATAAGGAAATGTGTAACCAAAACTGATTTTAACTGCTAACAGAAAAGCTTTGAATGCTTCCAATTGCTTATGTATGTCATAAATGTATACATATTTTAATTAACCTACCTTTAAACAATTATTATCGTTGGTCGAGATATTTGCAATATTTTCCTTTGCCGTAATTGGGGATTTTCCAAAATTTATTTTGCGGATTTTTTTTTTTTTAACAGCACCGTCGGTTGCTTTCACAGTACGCAAAATTTATGCTTGCTTTGCTTTATCTATTATATGGTTTGCGTGTCTTTTAAACTTTTATTTTTTTCCCCTTTTGTTTAACACTTTATGCCAGCTTTTTACTGTACAATTAATTTTTTAACACTTTCTTAGCTTAAAAACTATTCATTTTTTGTATTTTTTACGAAATATACGTATATTTCGTCAATTTCGCGTACCGAAAAATATTTCACAAATTGGAATAAAATGAAAAGTTTTTATTTTCTCTGCTATTGCTCTGCACGATTGTCATCATGTCATATGACGTCTTAGGTCTACAAAAATTAGTGGAGAGTTGCGATCGCCAACGAATGTCAGCTGCGAAACTAAACATATTGATAGATGATGGAAATGAATAAATAAACGGTATAAATACAATATTTATTCATAAATAAAAATTAAATTCTTAAATATTTTCCTTTATACACAAAACGAGTGTTTAAAAAATAGAAATAATAAAAACAGTAACACTCGATCTTCTATTGTAAATGGCACTTAAAACTCTCCATTTTGACATTTCATTGTTGTTCTTTGCGATTTGTGAACAGCTGTTGTTTGTTGACAACACTGCATGCGTTTGTTATTCTTTGCCAGCCAGTTGTAGCAGTTTGTTGAGAAATGGAGAAAACTGATCATGAAAACGAAATTTTACCTGCACAATCTTTTGGTCATGGTGCAACTCAGCTAGGAGTCAATAAAGCAGTATCCGAAATACCGTGCATCAAGTGTAATATGATGTTCGAATTCCCAACGGGCAAGCATGACTATCTCGCACATCTGTTTATAGAGCACCGATTTGTTATAGCGGATGTTGAAGATATTGCTCTGTTGGAAGAATATTTAAAATATTGGCAAAAAGAATTTACAGGTTTGTTTGAAATTTTCATTGAAAACAAAATAAAACGAATTTATTTTATTATAGGCCACGAACTAGAAGATTACTGCACCACACTTTTGCTAGACCAATTGCCAGATGGCACACCTGCAAAAAATGAGAGATACTACCTACTTAGTGATATACTACCTAAAGATTATGAAGTTAGGAACAAGCTGCAGCAGCAATCTCTGGAACGCGCACTTGCGCAACATCAGCTGGAGTTAAATGATCGCAATTTCACAAAGGAATGTCTTTACTGTCGTGATGTCATCACTGGCTTGCGTGCTGACTTTCTGCAACATTTATTTACGAAACACTTCTTACAATTGGGAAAACCCCAAAATCTTGTGTATATCGACGAATTAGTTGAGAAAATCCAGCACAATCTGGAAAACCTCGTGTGTCTTTATTGTGAAAAAATATTCAAAGATAGAACTATTTTAAAAGAGCACATGCGTAAAAAGGGACATAAACGCATTAATCCTAACAATCGTGATTATGATCGTTTTTTTCTTTCCAACTATCGCACTAAAACTCAAAACGTTAAACAACCAACTGCGAACAAACAATCTTATGTGAAATCAAGACAACAAAAGGTGCTAGAAGCAGGTTCAGCTAGAGAAGTGCATTCACCTGAACTCGCAACATCGCCACAAGAAAACTTCGAACGTCGCTTTGCAGTGCGCAATGAAAGTGATGAAAGCGATTCTGATTGGTCTGACTGGGATGAAGACATCGGTAAGATGCCACCACTTAATTGCCTTTATTGCAAGTATAAAGAAGAAAGTTATGAAGCTTTGAAAGAACACATGTTGAGTGCGCACAACGTAAACTTTGAAGAAACTATGAAAGGTCTCAACTTTTATCAGAAAATCAAAGTGGTAAATTATGTGCGACGACAGATTTGTCTACTACGCTGTGTCAGCTGTAATTTACGTTGTGATAATGAGGTAAATCGCTTAATCATGTTTATTGAAAGAATTTAAAAATAAATTTTAATTATTTCAGGAGCATTTATCGCAACACATGGAAAGCGAGCAACATTTTGGCTGCGGCACTAAAAAGCAGTGGGATAAACCGGAATATTTTTTCCCTACCTACGATGATGATAGTCTCTTATGTGTGCTTGATGATACTCCCAACGATGAAACGGAAGATAGCGTTGTGCGCATTATATCCGAAGACACAATCGCACAGATAAATAAAGATGCCGAACGACTTTCGCTTGAAAATTTTCCATACGCATAACAAAATTGTATGTTTTTTATAAATGTATATTTAATATTAGTAACTATCGATAGTTTCGAGATTAAAAATCAACTTATTATTGTGTACAACAATTTTTATTTATTTATATACATACTATATGTACATAAGTTGTTTTCTTACAGCTAATTGCAATATTTTACAACATAGTAAATAATTAAAGCATATAACATATTAAATTGCTGTACCGCGTTCCAAATTCTGTTTGATCTCCGCCGTATGTTCGCCGTAGAAACGATGCAGCTTCTTGTTGAATTTCGAGTTACGTTCGTTAATGAAGTCAACATCTGCATCATCGTTGTATGTGCGTCTACGGGAATATTTCTTTCTACGTTCAATTTGTTGTTCCAAATCTTTTGCCATATTATCAATGGATGATTTCTTATCTTTCACCAAACCCTGTAATATAGTATTAGGTCCACCATAAAATGCTTCACCTAATTCCTCTTTCTGCTGCTCATATTTAGCCATATCCCGTGGCGGTAAATTCTTGACCAAGCGATTGTATTGACGCGCTGTTTGTGCCTCAAATGTGGAAAAACCTAAATCGGGATTCCGTTTGCGTTTCTTTTTCTCAATGCGCTCTGCATCAACTGCTGAAACGGATAATAGCTTTAGACGGTCATAATCTTTTCCTTGCGCTTTGGCCTCTTCTCGTGCTTGATCATCAGCCAACAGCCACTCTGCTTGCCTTCGACGCGATTCCCAGTTATTTGGTAGCTTTTTGCGGGCATCTTCAGCAATTACTTCATGATGATTTTGTGTACGTGCTTCTTGGCGCTGTTTGTGCAGTGACCGCAAACGCTCCTTACGTTCAGCTAATTTCTCGGCAGCTGATTTCTCAACAACTTTTTCTGCTTCCATGATATTAATATATAAATTGCTGATTTATTTTTTATTTTAACGTAAACTCTTTTATTATTTGCTAGACCTCGCGGTCGACACTGTGTTTTTGGTTTCTAAAATAGAAATAATGTTTATATTTTGTTTGCAGCCCTTTATATAGCCAAAAACCTAGCTTTGGTAAATAAATTTTCGGGTGCGTAGTTTATTTACTACCTGCTTCTTTTCAACACAACATGGCGCTCACAATAGACTATTAGGGTTACTCTCGTAAGCAGGCATGTGTTTACAGGCAAGCATGTGTTTACGGGTAAGCATGTATTTACAGGCAAGCATGTATTTACATTAAAGTAAAGGGGTTGTTTACTTTAACGTAAACATATATAATTTTTAATAGTATATTTATATAAAAATAATGTGAAATAAATCGCGTACAAATAAATTTGGTAATTTCAATATGGCAGTTCTGCTACAGCTGTTACTGTGAATGAATAAATATGCATTTAGAAGTGACAGTCTGTCATTAGCAAAAGTAAATTAGTATTTATCATTGAGTGAAATTTGTAAAGGTATGTTTTTAATTATTCATTAACTATTGTTTTTATTATGATAAAATGTACTTTATAAAAATAAAAAAATTCTTAATGACATCTTGGTGGTTCAGATGTCAGATAGGAAAAAGCGTGTTGTATGGACCCATCGGGATGATCAATTACTGCTCAAGCTTTGGGCGGAACGAGCTACTGATTTGGGACGTGCCAAAAGAAAAAGATATATTTATTCTAAAATTTCGGCAAAAATGTGTGGAAAGTTCAGTGCTAAAGATATACATGTAAAGATACGTAATTTGACACAAACATATAGGTAACTTATATACACTTAAATAACTACATAAATGCTCATTACAATTACAATTATTGGCAGACATGAAAGAAAAAAATTTGTTGCATCAGGCGACAAAACGAAGTGGCGACTCTATAATGAAGTACATCAAATTTTAGGTCAAAATGCAGATAACACTGCGGAGGAATATGAATCAATTTCACAAGTAGGTTTCTATATTGTCATGTACCTTTGTTAACTCAATACTTTATTATACTACAAAAAATATTATATTAATCTTCCAGGACAGCAAATTTGACAAATCCTACAATGCGTTAGCAGAAGCTGTGGCAGTTATGTCAACACCAGCACCATCCTCATCCTCATCATCAGCTTCGTCAAAAGCAGAACTGCTAACTCCTTTACTAACAAGATCTGCCTTATCATCACCAGTGCCACCACATTCACCATCACCAGATCCACTGCAATTGCCTCGTAGAAAACCGGCAACAACTACTAACAGTGTAGAAACTGAAATGATTAAGTTAATGCATAAACAGACAGAAATGTTGCAGAGTTTAATAGAAGACAATAAGGAGTTAACTAATGAAATTGTTACTGCCTTAAGAGAGCAAAATGAAACATCCAACGAATTTTTAGCATTAATGAAAAGTCTCATTGAAAAAATTTAGTAATAAGTATATAAGATAAAACTAATTTATTTATAAAAAGTAAGAAAATAATTATATTTATGTTTCTTAAGCGATTTTTATAGTGTATATGAAGAATAAAGTAAAAGAAAAATATATAAAATTAACTATACATAAAATTAAATACGTACTTTTTTGTATGGAAAAATATTTTTCTTATTTAAAAAGAACAATCTAAGTCAATTTGGCTCCTGTATAATAATAAAGCACAACTTTTTATCAGGCCATTGATTTTAATTTGCATCATCTCCATTAATTGCCACACCAAATAAACTTCATTGCGAAATTATCCCTGTGAATGAGCCGTTATTTTGACACTTCAACTATTGTGATTATTTTGATTCAATTATAGCTAGTTTATTTGTTTTTAAGTTTTTGTTTACAATTTCAAACACATTCATCACTTCAAATTTCACAGCGAAATGCAAAAAGCGAGCGGAAAGGAAATATATCTTGTTACTAATACCCTCAACTGTGTGCCATGTCTGTTGAATGGCGCATCTGTATTGATAGATCTACGAAATGAGCAATCTGTGGCTGGACGTATTAATGCAACAGGTACGGATGGTTACATGAATATACACTTAGTGGAAGCAGTATTTATAGACCGAAACGGCTTGCAATACCCATTCGATGAGTTTATGGTGCGTCCACGCATGATACGTCAAATACATATACCTGCATATATAGAGGCTGAAAGTGCGTTGCGTGAATGGTTGGCTCATGTTTGTCGGCCTGTAAAGAAAGTGCAACAATCTCGAAAAGGCAAGATGACATACAAAGAAAAACGTGCAAAGCTGCGACACAATGAGGTGCTTAATGAAATACAAAAATTAAAACAGGATCAGGCTAGTGGTGGTAGCCAAAAGAGTACCAACTAATTGTTTATTATTAGATAATTTACAAATTTTCATTATACAAAAGCTCATTAATTCATTTAGTATTTGTATATATATATGTAAGTAGTACATAAGTACTATTTAAAAACCAAACCTAGAAATTAAGCAAAAGTTTTATATTCAAAAAAATGCATTAATTTTAATAAATATTTGCGTATTAAATTACACAGAAATTAAGAATAAAAATGGACATTAAATCCGTAAAAGATTTAAGCAAAAGAAATGCACATTTTATTATTTTTACAGGTTTGTAATGTGCGTGTCTAAAGCAGACTCATGAGGAAATAGACAACCGGCAATACAAGTGCGGCTTTGGCATTAGATAGACCAAAAACGAAAATAAACAATTTCCATATGCCATAGTAGAAAGCTAACTGCAGAGCGACGTGCAAGGCGAGCAAGCTGAAAATAGAAAAAATATTAATTTTCAAATAAAATATGTATGTACATATATATTTGCTGCAGTTTTTGCTTACATCTTATCCTTCTTTCTAGCAGCAGACAATGTTTTCGGTGATTCTTTGCTTAGATATTGACGCACGCCCACTATGGTGTTGAGGAAGTAATCATCCCAAGCTAAATCACCGATATCGATGAAAAATATTTCACGATCACGCGGATCCATTTGCTTGGAAAGCGCCAATGTGTGTTTACTGTCATAATGCCATTCGGTAAAAATGAATTTCTCCAATGTATTCAAAGAATTCCACACGCTCTTGTGCAAACGTATAAGACTATATGCATAAATAAATGAATAAAGTAAAGTTATTGGTATAAAATGAATTTTTAAAATTAGTTTTCCTCATACATAGGTCTGCCGCCGCTTAATTTTGTGACCAAATCTAAAAAGAAACCGGGTATAAAATGAAACAATATGGCGCCCAAACGAAAGATGAATAAACTCTTAACCAATTTTAGATTTGGGTACCTGCAAAGAATTGAAAAAAATAATCGAATTAGATACTAGAATGTTTAAAAATGTCTTAATCATATTACCAAACAGCAGAAACCAGTGGATACTCATGTAGGTATGCATTAATTTTATTAATCAAAAACTCAAAACGGAATGGCTTGTAAGTACTGGAAGTAAGATGGAAGATTTGCAAATCAGCTGGTTTGCCGGCATTTTTAACTCTGAAAAGAGAGAAGATAGTTGGTGAAGTACTAGGCGAAAGCTAAAAAAAAATATTTTTATACTTTAAAAAAAATATTTTTTTACTTAAAAAAAAATTTTTATTTTACTTAAAGAAAAATTATTTTTTAGCTTAAAAAAAAATATTTTTTTAACTTAATAACAAAATGTCTAACTTTTTTTAATATGCGCGACCTAATTGTTTAAATAATTAATATTACAAATATTTTTTTTATTCATTACTCAAATTAAAGACTAATTTTATTAAAAATATTTTTTTGTTTCTTCTATTGTTAAAAAAATGGTGTGGCGGGAAACAAGGATGATAGTTAACCCACGGATTTAAGACCGTTATGGGCACCGAAGGCGTAATTCCCTCCATACTTCAATCTGCCAGCTCTTGCATTAACGGATATTTCCATATGTGGATAAATCCGGCCAAATAGAGCGACCTTTCATAAATAAATGATAAATATTAACCATTGCTACTAATTTCTAACGAAAATTTCTCTTTCAACGGGATTCGAACCTGCGCAATTACAAGCGTAAGAATAAAATCGAGCTCTACACCTCAGCAACCGAAGCTAAATCAACCTTAAAAATAAGAAGAAATAGTATATATATGTATATATAAGTACGTAAATTCACCATGGATGTCACCAGAAGAAACTACGCAAAGTTTGTAGTATGCTTTTAGGCGCTAATAGTAAGCGGTTTAGTAATTTGTGGAAATTACAAACGAAAACGATGTGAACATGTGGAAATATAGAAATGTGACAAAAGTAAAAATATAAATATTTATTAAAAATGATAAATATCAAAATAATTCAAACTAAAATTGCCTAACGGAAAATATTGTTGAAAAAAAAAACAGTAACGTAGATAAAGGCTTCCCTTTTCTTAACATTTATAAATAGAACGAATAGAATTTTGCCAACAACTTGGGCGTCTATTACGCATTCCATACATATTTACATCCATATTTTTGCGTGTAAAAATAATCCCAAGTAAAATAGTTGCGTGACAACTTGTGCCTATGCCTTCTTAATGGACAATGATTTTGCACATTCTAGCAAAGTTTACGACCTTTGAAGAAACATACATATATACTAATACTTACTGGAGCGCGTTTACATAGTAACCGGTTGTGATAATTGCATTCACCACCACATCAACGGGTATGTAATCCATAATGATGGTCGGATCTAAAGGTAAACGACGCAAAATGCCTCGAGATGCGCCCATAAAAAAGCCTTGTGGGCCATTCTTTGAGATGGTCCAGCCGGGTATGGGTTGTTTCCAAGCAGCGGTGACTGGAAATTTTTATTTAAAGTGAAAAATGAATTTAGAAGTATATTAAAATAAGCAAAAACAGAGAATTTGTAGTAATAATAAATCTGAAACTAACTAAAAAAAGCATATTAAAATGAAAATTTAATCAAAGAAAAAAATTAAATCGAAAAAATTTAATAATATTAAAATCAAATAAAAAAAATGATAAATAAAGCAAAATTATTTAAAATAAAATAAATTGAAATTAACTTGAAAATTAAATCAAATAAGATGAAATAAAAAACTTAAATAAGATGAATAAAATATTAAAGAAAAATGAATAAATTATAATAAAAATTTAAAAGTAAAAAAAAATAAAATAAAACAAAATATATCAAATATATTAAAATAAAATATAACAGAAAAAAAATATAAAATAAAACAAAGAAATAAAATAAAATACAAAAATAAATTAAGTAATAATAATAAATGATAATAAAACAAACCGAAATTTAAAAAAAATAATAGTAAAAATAAAAAAAGGAATAAATATACTTAATGGAAAAATAATCAAATAAAATTAAAAAAAGATCAAAATAAAATAAAAAGATAAAGTAAAATAAAATAATTTAATATTGAAAAAAGAAACATGAAAAATAAGTTAATTAATATAAAAATAAAATTAAATTAATGGAAAAAATAAGCAAATACAACAAAGAAAAAAGGAGAAATTAAGAATGAAGAAAAAATAAAATAAAATTAAGTAAAATAAAAAGAAATAAGAAAAAGCAAAAAAAAAAATTATTGAAGTAAAAGAAACTAAAGTGAAAAAATTAAATTAGAGGAAAAAATAAATAAAATTAAATAAAACGGAAAAGGAAATTCTCCTTCTTTCCTTTAAAAGAAAAAAATAAATAAAACAAAGTAAATTAAAGAGACAAAAATAGATGAAATAAAACAATGAAATAAATTGAAAGAAAATAAAAAAAATAAAGGTAAATTTAAAATAAAAATATTTAAAATTAAATGGAAATAAAATAGAATGATATGTCAAAGATAAGCTAAAATAAACTTATTATAGTAAAAAGAAATTAAACGGAATTAAAATCAAATAATATGAAATAAAAGGAAATAAATAAATATAAAATAAATTTAATTGCAATGAAATAAAATACTAAACATCAAAAAATAAAATATAATACAAAATAAAATCAAACCAAATGCAAATAAAAAAAAATAATTACATTAAAAAAAGATGAAATAAAAGAAAGTGAAAAAATCACAAAAAACTAAATCAAGCAAAATAAAAAAGAAATAAATAACATAAATTATAAATAAAACATAAAATTAATTAAAAAAGAGTTAAAAAATTAAATAAAATACAACAAAATAAAATTAAAACAAATTGAAATCAATTTTAACAAAATAAAATAAAGTAAAGTAAACAGAAATAAAAAATCAAAAACAGCTAAATTCATATGAAGTAATGTAAACTCAATTAAACAATAAAATCATATTTCGTAAGTATTAAGTGTATTTTGTAATATTGAACTCACTCATGCTGGGTCGTACAATGCCACATGGAAAACGTGAGGCCACATTAGCCACTTCGTGCTCAGCTAAATGTTTGGTGAATGTGTATGTATTCGGATGATCTTTCAGCAACCTAAATAAGACACAGATTGGAATAAATTATTATTGAGTTCACATTGAATTAAGCAATAAGTCAAACGAGCAAAATTCAAACGCAGCCGCTTACTTGGGCTCCAACTCCTTGAGCGCCTCATCGCTTAGTGTTTCGGCTAAATGGATGACCTTCTCTGGATCATCAGGAGCTGGATATAGTTTCTCCTCGACTTCGGTGATATATGAATTTACATAAGCGCTGGAGACATGTACGAGCGCCTGGAGGAAAAATACAATAAAAGAAAACAAAAAAAAAATAAATAAAATAAAATGTTACAAAAAAATAAAAAAAATAAAAATTAAAAAAAATATTAAAAATAAAAAACAAAAATGAAAAAATTTTTAAAAAATAAAAATGAAAAAAAAAAAAATTATTATAAAAAAATTATATAAAAATATATAAAAAATAATTAAATATAGCATAATAACTATGAAAGCTATCTTCACTCACCTCCAATTTTGACAATTGCTTACACAACTCCACCACACGTCGTGTGCCGAGCAAATTGATGTTCGTCGTCTCTTTGAGTGATTGAAAGAAATCCAATGTGGCGGCAGAGTGGAAAACCACATGCACATTATCGATCAACACCTGCCGCTCTGCTTCAGAGATGCCCAAATGCTCTTGACCCACATCACCTTCAATGGGCACAATCTTATCGAAGCGTTTCTCATCGATTTTCAATTCTTTAAATTTGTCAAAGACGGAATTCTTGCGTATATCTTCCAAACGCTGTGCTACGGTCTTGCCCTTTTTGGGACGCATCAACAGGTAGACAGTGCCGATTTCGGGTATGTCGCGTAAAAGTTTTTCGAGTATTGTGACGCCCACGAAGCCTGTGGCGCCGGTAATGAAAACATTTTTACCTTTATAAAAGGTTTTAATGGGTGAAGCGAGATTGCTGCGGGGAGAAAGAGAAAGAAAATGCAAATTAAAATGGCATAAGTGATTCTTCTTCTTCTGCTTTTTAAGCGATTGTATTTCAATATTTAAAATTCCATGCAAATTCAAAGCAAACTTCTTTGTTATAAATTAAAATCGAAAAAACCTTAGCCGCTGTCATTTATCTGGGATCGGCCGGAAAATCATTTACAATTACAACAATCGCTTCTCAACTTGCTCTGGTCGACAATAAGACGTAAAAGGAGAATGAAACAAGTCCCATTCGACCTATTGACCTTTCTTGAGATGTTAATCTTGGCCAGAGGTATGGACAGCCTTATAGCAAATATTTAGAGTTTTTAGGTTATCTTAGAGTCCGAAACAGCTTGAGATTTTCTATTGAGCTTAGCAACGCCAAAAAAACCACCAAAAAGAAAAAAAGGTGAGGCATTCACAGAGTAAGTACTAGTAGTAGAAGATTCAACTTTCCCTCCTTTTCCGGAAGTTCAGTAGATAAGGATCATTCTACCAGCACCCTTACTCAGTTGAGTACTTATTGTCGGAGAACAGCCTAAACATCTACGTTAGTTTTATCGTGGCATCATCTCAAAAGACCTGTCAGCTTTTTGCTAAAATTTACGCCGAATAATTCTGATACTTGGAGCTTATTGGAGACGATCTACTTGATCTCTCCTATAGAGCGTAGAACGGGAGAAGATGACTATAGGCGGATGACCTTCAGATAGCCATTTAACGTCATTCACAGAGTCAATTAAGACCTTCATCAGGTCTCTTGCCATTTAAACTCAAGACGCATGCAATGTGTATTCTTACTCCTATCCAAACCCCAAGGTTTATAGATGTACAGAGTAGGTAATATTCACGGTGAACTTAGTCGCCTTTTTACCCATTTACTGATTATCAATAACAGTTTGAAATTCTTAGGTACGCTAAGTTATACCAATACCTATTTCTTATGGGTTCTTTCTCTGATCTTAACACTTCTTTTTTCGTTTTATTGTGTCACATACAAAGGAAAGAAACGTTTGGGCTATTGATACAATTAGGCTACTTTAGAGGTTGCAGTGATTACTGGGCATCAGCTCACACAGTCCGATTCATTAAAGGTTATCACATCTATAGGCTTAAACCTACTCTCTCGAAGTGCGGATAATTCGAAAAGAAAGAAAGTGTTGCAAGGTTTAGGATCATTTCTTCTGCTCTCTGTATTCTCTGTGTGATTGATGATGTGCCCAGTCTTTCTGTGTACCTGTCCAAAAAAGTTTGCTCTGTAGATATCACGATAAGCAGTCGTAACTTTCTTTTCCGCCTTTTTGGGCACGTTGCAAACCATTGGGACTATGTCCAGGCAACCTTATTACGTACAGAGAGAGCTGCTTGACCATCAGCACTGCGTATATTTTGGTATCTTTGATGACCGGTTGGTTGCTATTATTGGTTTTGGAGCCTTCAAATCGACTTAGCCAACATATATATGCACATATATCCATCTCTAACACCTTCCACCCCCTCTCTTCTTCCCTCTATATATTATATCTCTAGCTCTTGTCCGAATCTTAGATGTAACTTCGACGAGTTAAATTAGTGTGATCTTTTTCGTGAACAACACTAACGGGCTAATAATTCTAATAAAATCATAATGGGGCGAAAAATTGCAGGGTTGCATTTGCAATAGTCCTCACGTTGCGACTGGTAATAAATATTAATTTATAGCAAATCATAAAAATTAATGAACAGGTGAGATAAAGGTAAATTATAGGCGATAATCTTAAATACATACACATATGTACATACATATGTATAATATGTGTGTATATAAACACTTTATATGCTTACGTAAAATTATAATTTCTGTTTTCTTAAATCCATCTCAATTATTTAGCTATCATTTTCAGTAGCGAGTAAATCATAGATATGTATGTTATGTATGTATGTACATATGAATGTATATACGCATAAAAATAGTATTTGCTGAGCTCGTGATAATGATAGCCAACACTAGCTTACAAATATTTAAAAATATTATCTGCAACAATGTCTCTCAAAAAATAAAATAAAAAGAGAATAAAAAAAATATTGAAAAAAAAAATAAAAAATATGGAAAAAAAAATAAAAAATATTGAAAAAAAAAATTAAATAAAAGTAAGAAATACAAAAGCAAATTTATACAAAAACTCCAAAATTTTCCGCCATCATATTGAGTAAATACGATTTCCTAATCGAATCTTTGTGTGCGTTTGAAAATTTGAAGTGAAAGTCAATACAAACACAACTATCATCTTGAGATTTTAAGCCATATGTGTGTATGTGGATATATGTGCATTCATATATGTATGTAACTAAAAATATATTTATTTATGCATAAACTATACATATAATATATACATATTTACTAATCATAAATACAAGGTTTGCAGCCGCGAAAGCTTTGATGCCGAGACATTCAAATTCAAGCTTCAAATCACATTTTATGCTCTTTAATCTTTCTATTCCCTATATACAATATATTTATTTTTTAGTTACACAAGTCATATGTATATACATGTATTTAATATACGTATGTAAATTTTGGTTTTTATCTCTCTCCAAATAGCTTTTTAGCTTTTTGAGTTAACGCCATTTGGACTTTTGGTTTAAAGTTCAAAAAAGACCGATCGTCAATTGAGTGCCTTGCACAGCGAGAAACAGGTTTTTTTTTACTATTAAATAATACAAATAAAAAAAATTAACAAATTGCTGGTTATTGTTGGCTTTTATAATTACAAAGTAAATACATATAATATTGCTGGTGTTGTTGTAATTTAAATATGCTGTTGCAAACTGTTCATTGTAGTTAAGAAAAAAAACATTTATTTACGAGGTTAATTTCTTCTTATTTGTATGTTTTTTACACGGCCGCCACCGTAAACATTGAACAGAAATCCACAAAAAAAACCGTTAATTTTTTTTCATTTAAATTTTTGCATGCATTATGCAACCACAAATCATTCGATGTGTGGACGATGAAGTACAGAAGTATTTTTTTTGTTTTCCTTTTTTCCACAATGATCTAATGTGTATTTCAAAGAAATTTTCATTAAAAAAAAAACGCTATTGTGAATTTCGCTTCTTTAGCTGGGTTCACAGTAGCATGATTTTTGACAGCTGATGCGCTTTGTTTACAAATTAAAAAAAAATTAATATAAGGAAATGATATTATTTCGACTGAGAAGCGGAATAAAGTTTGTAAATATAATTTTTTAACCATAAAATAAACTTAAAATGGAAATAAGTTAAAATATGCTAAAACCTTTATGAAAAATTTGTGTTGCGCTATCGACAAAAAAGGTGTTTAGGTTTTATCCGCTACCTCAAGATTCTGCTGGATCCGTATAACAACGGAGTTGCAAAACAGATACGAGATTTATTTACTTTCTTAACAAGCAGCACAAGCTGCTAGAACAACCGCTATAATTTTACGACATTGATTCTCGGCAGTAAAAAATGGACAAGCAAATATAATAATCCGGTCTGGCGTATAGAAGCTTATACAGATGGTTAAAAAATTTGATGGTAAAGTGGAAGGAGGTGTTTTCTTAAGTAATCCTTTACATGAACTTTCGTTTAAGCTAAAAATTACGTGCAGGTACGAAATCCCAGTTCAAGTAATAAAAGCTGTAAAACACATTCAAAGAGATAACTCAGGTAGGGGCATATTCATCTCCAGTAATGGACAGCTCTGTGCTCGATAGCGACAAACTCTAAAATCGTACCGACAAATCGAGGCAAACTTGGCCGGTATCAGAACGAATTCGGTTGAATGGCTCTTACTCTCTGAAAAAGGACCAATTTTAATGCAATTTGGATCATATCATTTTGACGACATGAAAGGCTCAGCGTCCTTTGCAGAGACCTTTCTAAATATATGACCTATCGTACATACATACATATACTTATAACTCCAATTTGAAATTCTTCGCTGTTGTTTTTGTGACTTGCAACTCAACCTCGCTTAGGGGCGAACCATCGAAGTCAGGAAAATGAACTGTTTCAACCGAAAAACACAGTGACGGGGGTTTGGAAGATTAAGATTGAGAGCTGGTCATGCGAGCATTCATCGCACGAACATAAGTTTGTCGGTGTGAAGGATAAGTAGGAGTTAAGTCGACTACAATAATCAGATCTTAATTATGCCGCTATTATTCAATTTCAATAGAGCACGAGCGTTCGTCTGCGATGGACGTTGCTCAGGAGTTCAGACTTCAAGAAACGTATTGACGGATTCTCGGTGCATAACATTTGAATTCTGTTGGTACGCCCTCCTGCATGAATGGAGTCTGTATAGCCTAGTATTTGATACTTGGTCTTACACATAGATTTTTCGAATTCAGCTCATGATAAGCATTTGAGATATAATTTATTCAATATTAGAGAGGCGGTAATAGTTTTTCTGAAGGTGGTTACATATTCGACGTTAAGATTAATCGACTTTCATTATAGAAGTGAGCCAAAAACCTGAATGTTCGAACCAGTAAACGTTTTATGCAACATTGCTTGAAATGTTATAAAAAGCCGAGTTGATTTATCAAATTACATATTTATTGAATTTTTATTGCATCTGTTAAGTAATAGAGAAAAGTGAAAAAGTGAAAAAATGAAAAAAAAAAAACCTAAAAATAAATCAAATACATAACCGTATAAAGCAACTTCCTTATCTGTCTATTGCGTGTTTGCCGAGCGCCACCAAGCGCGCGTCATTAGCGCTGCAGTTAAATCAAGCAAATTTAAGCAAGGCAAAGCGCATGCTCAAGCCATGACGATATCCATATTAGTGAAAGCAAAAAGTCGTTGCTCACCCAACCAACCGCAAATGCTGTGAGCATATATGATAAAAAAAAAAAACTTCCAGGCTACTAACGGTTAAACAGTAGCTATAACAAACACAGAGCTTAAAAGTAAACAAGTGAAGCTCAGGCAAGATCATACAAAAGATTGTGGTTAACGAAGAAACTTTTCTTATATAATTTTATTTTTTTCTACAATTTTTAAAAGCAACAAATGGCTCGGTGGTAATTTGAGTTGATTGGCAAATGGAGTTGGGGCACTGTAATATATGCTCAACTAATTGCACACAACTAGTATATTCATTAGTGTTCCTAATTAATGTCGTCATATTTTACATTTTATTATTTTTTTTTATTTAGTATGAGTAGGAGGATGTCAATCATTAAAAATTCATATGTGAATATTTTATTACACATCTAGTGAGTTTATGGCCGAGTTTGTTTTGAGCGTGTAATTAATTATGAAGCTTTTTAAAAATTTAGACAGTGGCAGAAGTAATGCGATAGAAGAAGTATGAACATTAATAATGCTTCCATATATTTTTATTTATAATAACTAAGCTAATTAATTAAGTCTATACTAATTAAAATTTGAGCATGTTGCGACTAACACTCTACTATTTATTTATTTATAAATTGAAATGGTTAAATCTTGTATTTCAACACTCAAATATTATATTCATAATTGGTTGATGCCGCATGTCTTTACTTTATATTTTCGAAATGCAATATCCGAGAGGTTAGAGTCGCGTACTGACATTGGGAAAGGCAAGTTCGCGTTCTAGTTTTTCCAACATCTAATAGTGATCGCCTATCGGCAGGGAAGCTCAAAAGCTCCAAATGTATTTCTGACAATAAAATCAAAGCCCTTGATAAAAATTTATTGGCGATTCGGAAAGGGAAAGCACCAAGACGCATACCGCCGATAATCGCTTCGGCGGTTAAAAAGCGTCAATTATATATGATGGTTATCGTAAAATTTTAATCACATGCCACTCCGCAGAAAATTAATTATATCTATTCCACTTATGAAGTATGAAAATGCAATCAAGACTCCTCTGAGTTATATTACATACCTATAAATTAATCGCTTTTTTACACCATCTGTACACCCGAAAAGTTATTAAATTCCAAGCGTAATCTATTCATCTGTCCAACTGAATTCTCTTTGTGACCTTTCGTAATCAAGAAATTAAATTTTGATTTAGAAAAAAATGAGATTTTGTTTTGAATTGAGATAAGATAATATTATAAAGCAAACATATGTACATACTTTTAGTATATCAAAAACATAATTAAAATTAAATACATATATTTGTGTAAGCAGCGTTTTCGTGCGCAGCAATACTCATTGCAGTTACGTTACTATGGCGTAGTATTTAGCACAATTCCTGCTCTTCTTGTCCGAGCTACGTGGTTTACTTGATGTAAGGATGCTCTCATACTTATGGATTTGAACTGAAAATGTCAAGTGCTTAAATAACTATTAGCATAATTTTAGTGCATATAACACTTCTGAGTTTTGAGAAAGCACTCCAGCCTTTTGTAGGTTATTTGATGAGCTTGAAGGGTGTTTAGCAGCTTAATTCTTTTACTTCTTCTCAATGGAGTAGGCACTAGCGGAATCAAATATAGCACGCTATTCGTCCCTTTTCTTTGCTGTTTAACGCCAGCTGGAAATACCAAGTGAAGTCAAATCACTCTCGCACTGGTCCTTTCAACGAAATGCAGGTCGTCCTCTGCTTCCATAAGCGGCTATTGCATCAAACTACTTTCTAATCTGGAGTACTTTTATTAATATGGCCGACATGATCAAGTCTGCGTGGCCGCTATCTCTCAATTCGCTGCACTATATCAATGTCACCATATAATTCGTACAACTCATCGTTCCACGGTCTGCGATATTCGCTGTTGCCAATGGCCGAAGTATCATAAATCTTTAGCAAAACTTTTAGGGATTTGTATTTTGGTTTTGATTTGTCGAGACGTTTAAACTCACTCAAGCTGTAAAAAATATTATCATCGCATTAGCCGATTTAAGCACCTGATTTTACAATTTCCGCAGGCAGGCATACGTGCCGATCTTTACCACGCTGTTCCTCTGTTTTTATCTGTTTATTTTCATTAACCGACCGGCCGAACATCGCTCTAGCAGTAATAAAGTGTTGATCATATACAGATATACAAATGTATACATATATTCACATTAGCCTCTCTTAAGTGTTTCCAACTCCAAGCACTTATGGTACACAAGTTCTCAGCCAATTGGGCAATTTATCTGTGCTGTTAAGTGAAAACGTCAATTTGCCGGGTTAATATTGGAGTTCAAGGACTGTGTGGTGTTGTAGGCAAAATTCTGAAATCTTACTACTAAATGTGCTGCATTTTCTTAATTCGTACATATGTATGTATGTATGTATATTTTAATATGAGCGCATCTGCTAAAAGCATTCATTCAATTTACTTCAATTAATTTTTACTTCACCGTGGATTGCAGCGAGGCAAAACTTTTGTTTATTATTTCATACTTTTTCACACAATGCAACCGTACTCTTTAGCCTAAACGTCATCAGTGCGCGCTTCTGACCGACCTTGACGTTTTGGACTGCAACAACCGCATATGTATACACACACATTCATACATGTAAATATTGACGCGTGATCAAGATTGACCTTCTTACGTTGCGAGAACATGTTGCAACTTGTATGCGGTTTTTTGGAAAAATACTGAAGCCGACCGTACAACAAAAATAGACATAATAACAGGATTGGTTGGTAAATAATAAAGTAAAATAAATTCATAAAAAATTCAACTGCCATGTAAGGCAGGCTATTAAATTATTAACCGCCCACAAGTGTAGATAGTAATTAAGGAGCGAAAAAATTGTCAACAAAAAGAAAATAATATATTCAATGAGGATAGAAAAAAAGGCAGCTAAGTAGAATAAGTACAAAATAATTTAACACAAAGTAAATACTTACTCGGCCATTTTCGTGTTGCTGCTGCTGCTGCTTATGCTTGAACTTCTAAAAAAAAATGTTGTTGTTGTTGTTGTGCTCTTTAACTTCTCTAATCTCACGCTAATGCAATTCCAAATTTCTGAGACTTTCACGTCCCTCAGAAGCGAACCTAAAAACAAAATCCAAGTATGAACACACTCTTACATACAAATATACACGAAAATGTATTGGTATTTGTCTAAGCTCGGCAAAAGAAGATTTCTCCACGCGCATTTTTCGTTTTTTTTTTTCGTTAAACTTCACTGTTAGCTGCTGCGCTCGTTTTTTTTTTGTTTATTTGCACTTGTGTATGTATTCTTGTTGTTGTTCTTTCGCTGCTGCTGGTATCATGCATACATGGGTAAGTGCATACATACATACATATGTACTTATGTGAATCAGATCAGCAAATATTCAAGCTGAACCAACCAACGAGTCATAGAAAAAAAACAACAAATATCCAACCGGTGTAGCGTAGACAACAACAAGAACCACCACAAACGAGCAAGAAATTTAGAAATTAACACAAACATACAGTATATGTACACGTACATACATATATCATTACATTGTGAGCACACAAGATCGGGAGAGAAGAAAAATAAGGAGCGACGAAACAACAAATAAATATTTCAAATATTTACGAGTTTTATGTAAAACAGTTTTTAGCTCGCAATTTTATCGTGTTTTTATTTTTCTGGCATTTGTGAAATATGTACATATATAGATACATATATATTTTCTTTTTTACTCTCGCATTCACTACAGCATTTCATTACCTTTTTTTTTGTTACACTGTTATTTTATCTACACTGCGGCAATGCGAATAAAGTACACAATTTCGTCTGTCTTCACGACGAGTTCACGCACAGTTATTTATCTTTTCACACAAAGAGAGCACGAGCGTTGATGTTCGCGACCAAAGTTGAACTGAATCGGCGCGAATGGCTACGGCGAAGCTTTGGTAGCAGACAATTTTGTTAGCCCACAATTGAGGCCATATGGTAGACGAAAGCTTCGAAGTGCGTAGTAGAAATGAAAAGAGTAATAGATTTTAGTTTATATAATTTTTTTTTGTATATTTTAATTTTATATCATTAAATTTTATTTAACTTAATATTATTTAATTTTTGCAATTAAGTTTAATAAAATAATATTTTTTAATTTTATTTTTCATTAATTTATTTTATTTTTATTTATACTGTTTAATTTTAATTTATTTGATATAAATTTATTTTATTTCTTCATTTATTACATTGCATTTTATTTATTTTTTTTTAATCTATTTCAACTCAATTTAATCTAATTTAATTTTACTTTATCTTGCAATTAATTAAAATTAATTTTATTTTGTTTTATATGAACTTATTATATATTTTATTAAATTTCATTATATTTTTCGTTATTTAATTTCATTTTATTGCGTTTTTTTCTTTCTTTTTTTATATTATTTTAATAAATATTATTTTATTTAATATTATATATATGTCATTTATCGCTATTTTGTAAGTTTTTATGTTTTGTTTAACTTAATTCTTTTATATTTTGTTCTATTTTATAATGCACTCTATTTATAATTTTTTTCCATATTTTATTTAATTCAATTTAATTCATTTATTGTATTTTATTTTAATGTACTTAATTAATTTTGATATTATATTATTTTATTTTATAATATTTAATTTAATTTAAGTTTATGATACTTTTAGTCGTTTAATTTAAATTTTTCTTATTTAATTTAGTTTTATTAAATTTTAATTTAGCTAAAATCTTTATATTCAAAGTGAAGAATTTAATATTTTTTGTATTTTGATTTATGTTTTATAATTTTATTAATTTTTTTTTTAGTTCTATTATTTTATAGTTTGCTTATTGTGTTTTATTTTATTTAATTATTTATTTATTTTTAATTTATTAATTTGTTGTTATTGGGTTTCACTTTACTAAATTATGTTATTTATTAATTCAATTAATATCACATACGTCATACTAAACAACACGTTTTTAGAAACACAAAAACTTCATTTTAATACACAAAATTGCATAGCTGTATGCGGAAATAAAATTTTTGTGGTGAATTACTTGCATACTTTTAGGCGAATTTTGTGTGCGATAACGATATTGTCGATCCGTTATATTCGATAGCGTACAGCAGCAGAGAACTTATTATCATAGACACTATGCTGCAGCAGAGTGCATTATCTCGCGTTGTGGGACTGTGGTCTGGCCTCCAAGATCGTGCGATTTAACACCGCAAGACAAGCCGGAGACGTTTGAAGGAGAATTTTCGGTGAATTATTGCTAACTTAAATTTGGCCTCTTAACAGTAATTTATTCGTACCTTATTTGTTGGGCGCTTGCCCGGAATTTGTAATAAAGCTAAATTATATGCGTTTTATTTCATCTTGAATCCTTTACGTACTGGATTGAAGCTACTTTTGCTATAAAGAAGAGTTTTTGTTCAAAAATATATGTACAAAAAAATGCGGAGACTTTTTAAATCACAATTGTTTTGAGCGTCTAAAGAAGAAATTATGACTAACACAGGGTGTCAGAGATTACATAAAACACGTATATTTTTACGAGTATAAAGATTTTAATATACAAAATTTGTTTAATAATTAATTTTTAGAAGACTGTGACGAAACGATTGCTCTTTATTTTAATAAGAGCGTCTCAGCTCTTCATAGCCAGAATTATAGATTTGCATAGTAACGAAAGTACCGGGCGCCACTACTTTCAAAGGGTTGCCACCACAACTTATTTAAACTCCAAATATTTTAATAAAAAATCTGTTTTGTTTTTTGGTCTTTCCATAATTAAAATATTTATAATTCGGTAAAATTGCACTGCATAGAAATTATAATATTGCAATTAAGCTTAAAATATAGCATACATTTTTTTTCTTTCGCTCTTATGGAATTAATAAAAAATTTGTTACTTTTGCTTAAAAACAAAAATAAATACACATATATATATATATATATATATATATATGTATGCATGTTTTCAGCAAGTTGATTGTCGACTATTTTTGTGTTTGCTTACTTATATTCAGAAAATTTGTACATATATATATATTATATATTATATGTATGTATGTATAATAATATATATATGTACATACATATATAACAGTTATGGTAAATATAATCGTTTTTTTTTGTAATCGTATTTCCTGATAAAATCCTTCAATTTGGTCTAAGTACATATGTGTGTATGTATGTATGTATATTGCAGCCTTAAAAATAACTCAATTGTTTTACTATAAACTTTTGTACTCACATATACATACATATAGCAAGAGTAAGTTAAATTAGTTATTTTTTCTATTTATTTAATGCTTTTATACAATATTTTGCTTTTAGTTAACACTAATTTGCTTTGTTTGTTTTTACAATATTTTGGTGTGTAAGTATTTTTCATATATATTATATTTTTTTTCAATTTTCTTCTAAGTATGACTTGTACTCGATAACTATTACGTCATAATTTGCACAGAATTTATTGCTAAAAATATTTAAAACTAAAATATTATATATGTATGTAAATACGCCCACAAATATTGATTTATGTATCATATTATATAGAGAATAACACAAAGACACGTGTTTGATATATGTATGTATGTGTATGTGTATTTAGTGCCACTTATCAAAACAGAAAAAAAAAGATTTAAAAAAACTTCCCCTAAACAAATTTTTTTCTTTCTCAGAAATGCATTTTTTTATAACTAAAATAATAGATTTTTATTTTTTTTTTATAAGCGAAGTGGTATTTACTGTTGCAGTAACAGTACTAAAATTAAATTTATTTTATTAATTTATTTACTTGCTACCGCTTTTTTTTTGGGATTTGGTAAATTTTGCGCTTATAACCAGACCAGAAAGCCCCAAATGGCGAGCGATAATGCAAGACCAATAGTGAGGCCGAAGAGCAAAGCGCAAATGCCGAAAATAAAGAGGAAGAGCACAACAAAGCCGAGGTAGTGTATAACGTTGAAACTGTAAATGAAAATAGAAAAAAAAGTAGAAAAAAAAATTATTAATTTCATAAAATTTATGGCTAATAAAAAGTTTAAAATGCTGACTTAGAGATAAATGGATGTTTGGGTGACGTCACTGTAGCAAGGTGGCTGACAAAACGTTAGAAAATAATGCGCGTGCTCAAATAGAATGCGAAATTGCGCTGATATTGCGCTTAGTAAATTAACATAAATTCAACAAAACGGTACTACAATCTTTGTAACAGCTCTACTGTGACGTCACTAGAACAGCTGTTAAGCCATTGCACGCATCATAAACACTCATTCCTCATACTCACACTCTCCAATACATGCGATGCCATTCGGTTGTCTCTGCCGCCTCTTTAAAATAGAAACGCCGCACACCAATCAAACAACGCACAAAGAATTCAGACCAATCACATAGACTAGAATCGAAGTTGTAACGTTTCTTATCACTCGGATGCATTAGCGCCATAATGCGTAGGGCATTCTTAAATGAATAACGAAAATCTTTATCCAAAAAGTAATCGAAAGCTTTGGTGCCCTTATGGAAGACGCGCATATACTCGTAGGCACTAATAAAATAAAAATAAAAATAAAAATAAAAATAATTAAATTCATAAGAAAAACGAAAAATTCGCAATCCTTAAACTCACGTATGCCGTGGCATACCAATGCCGAACAGCTTCTCCGGTATGGTATAGGCGAGCGCAGGTAGTATGTGAAATAGAAAGAAGAAGAGATTATAACGCCAACCATTACGTAATTTTGTGCTTGGCTTCCAAACGAACGTATTCGGTGGATGGCGTTTAACACTCTCATTCATAATCACACAAAATTCACGTAACGTCAACGGATTCACTTCGCCCGATGTACAATGTATCACTTCGAGTTGTTCCACTTTATGTGTACCCACATACCAGCCCATGACTAACGATGAATTGATCACAAAATCGCATGGTATGATATCGATTATCGAAGCGGCACGTCCGGACATTGTACGAAAGATGCCCTTAACGAAACCGGCTAAGTAACCGAGATGACCAGAGTTTGCATTGCCGACCCAACCCTTCATCGGGTGCTCCCAGGTGCCGTAAACTGTGGAATGAAAGAGAGAAAAAGAATTTATATAAATCATTTTCGGTTTAGAAAATTGTAAACATAGAAAATATATGAAAATTTCTTAAAAAAATAGTAATAATGATAATAAAAAAACATAAAAATGTGTGATTTCGTAATTTTCTTCGGTAAATTTCTTAAAAATTAAGGGTTAAGAAAGATCAGGGAATTTTCGCATAAACATCCATCCCCCCCTTTAAAGGCAGTTTAAGCCAGTTAGAAGTGGCTGCCGGGCATCAGCACCCCTAAACCACCAATCGGGGCTATTGTGTTGCCACTGAGGATGCCTTTTAGCCTCCAGTCAGACCAATGCGTGAGGTTCACAATACTGAGCAATCGCAGAAACTTCGTACACACTAATTCGTTCAAGTATCCAAAGGTTGCCGCCACTACTTCAATCTACTCGTCCAAAGTGCGGAGCATTTATCTTTAGGTCTCAGATTTTTCCAAGGGTAGAAATAACTGCGGTCGGCGCTATATTATTGAAGGCTCCCTCAATATCCATTAACGCTTTTACGCGCTGACTCCGGTCACCCACCTTTAATGCGGTCGTACTGGTTGTTTCTCTCTCAATCGATCTATCAATTGCTTTCTAATCTGAAGTCTTTTATATTTTTGCAGGTTTAAGGTTCCACCTTGGTGGCTTCTTCTTACTTTTTAGAGGCTTAGAGATAGTTTAGAAAAGGTTTAAATGTTTTTAAACAAAATCTTCTTTTTGTTGCTGAGTTCTTTCATTAATATTTAATATTTCAAGTCAAGTCTGACTAGACTTTGAGGCAATAGCAAACAAGTTACGTAAGATATTTTATAAATCTTGAATAGAATACAGAGTTCATATTATAAAGATATTTAATTAGCCATTATTAATTGTTGTTTTCAAACAACTTTTAAGAATTTGCAAATTTTTCTCAGTTTGCTTATTTGTTTTTTGTTTTAAGAAATGATATATTAAATTATTTTATTTAATTGAAATAAATTGTTTTTTTTTTATTATTTGCAATTTAATTTAATTTAATTATTTTAATTACATTTTCATTTTTTTTTTGCAATTTAATTTGATTTAATTATTTTAATTAAATTTTCCCTTTTGTTATTTGCATTTTAATTTAGTTTAATTATTTTAATTACATTTTCATTTTTTTTTTGCAATTTAATTTGATTTAATTATTTTAATTAAATTTTCCCTTTTGTTATTTGCATTTTAATTTAGTTTAATTATTTTAATTACATTTTCCTTTTTTTATTTGCATTTTAATCTATTTCATTTGTTATTTAATTTGAGCAATTAATTTTAATTGACTTCATTTTAATTTAATATTATTTTGTTTTAAATAATTTAATTTTTATATCATTTATTTTCCTTAAACTTTATTTTATTTTATTTATTTTATTTTTTTTAATTTTAATTAATTTTTTATTAATTTACTATAATTCAATTAATTTTATTCAATTTTATTTTATTTTTTATTTTACATTATTTTCTTTAGTTTTATTTAATTAATTTAATTTTATTTCAATTTATTTTTAATTTTCATTAATTTTAATTTTTTCATTTTAATTTCTTCATTTTAATTTTTTATTAATTATTTTTCTTTAATTTTATTTTATTTTTTATTCTATTTTACTTTAGTTTATTTCCTATAATTATATTTTAATTTATATAATTTTTTACTTTATTTCAGTTAATTTGATTTTATTTTATTTTATTTTATTTTCTTTAATTTTTTTTCGTTAATTTAATTTAATTTATAAACAATAATTAAATTTTAATTAAATTATTTTATTTTATTTTGTTATTTCATTAACTTTAATTTTTTCATTTAAATTTTATATCGATCATAATTGTATATATTATTGTTGATATAAGTATTAAGTAAACTAAAGGCCTAGTTTGCTTGTATAAATTGAATATTTTGTTATACAACATGGAAAAATGGTAGAAGTGACAGATGTTTCGGAGATCTCCGCATCTTCTCATCAGACTTCTTCTTAATTTAATTTTGTTTTATTTTAATATTTTTTTCTAAAATTATTTTATTTTAACCTATTTTTTATTTTATATTTATTTCCTTTATTTTATTTTATATAATTTTATTTTATGGTTTTTATTTTATTTTATATTATTTGATTTTAATTTAATTTATTTATTTTATTTTATTTTAATTTTTTTAATTATTTCGACTCTGTCTTTTATTTATTTTATTTAACTTTAATTAATTTATTTAATTTATTCTTTATTTTATTTTATCTTATTTTATTTTATTTTATTTTATTTTATTTTATTTTATATTATTTTGTATTATTTGATTTTAATTTAATTAATTTTTATTATTTATTTATTTATTTTATTTTTTAATTTTATTTAATTATTTCAACTCTGTTTTACTTAATTTTTATTTACTCTAATTAACTTTAAATTATTTTGTTTTACTTTATATAATTGTTTTACTTTTTATAAGTGCAGAAACAAGTTTTGAGTCATAAATATACATATATAAGTGTATATGTGCCAGCTATTTACTTGCAACTATTTAACCATTTTTTTATTTTAAATTTTATTCTTCTTTATTATATGCCAACTGAACCGGAATGACTATTGAGTCGCGCGCACGTTCGGTTGATGAACCAGACATTGGAAACTAGTTTTTTCGTTTTGCATATTATGTACAAATAAAAAATCGCAAATTTGCAAACATAATAACTTTGCGAAAGTAAAAAAAAAGAAACCAAACAAAAAGTTGCGTAAAATTGATTTGGCTAATGGCATGAAACTTAACGACAAACGGTAAACGCAATACGATTTCGACGTTTCAAACTATTTTTGAGTATTTAATATAATTTTTTTTTTGTTTAATTATATGAAATTCTTTATTACATGGTTAAATCAATTTTATTTTAGTTTTTGTTTAATTTTACCTTTATTTTATCTTAATTTATTATACATTATTTTTAAAATTTATAATACATAATTTTTTAAATACTTTTTTTATTATGTTTTATATAATTTATATAACTTTATTTTAATTTATGCTTTATTATTTTTATTTACTTTGAATTTTTTAATTTAATTTAGTTTTAATTTTTATTTAAATAAATTAAATTTTTTGCTTTTATTTTTTTAGGTTAATTTATTTTATTTATTTAATTTTTCTTTAATTTCTTTTATTTTATTTATATACAAAAAATAACATAAACATTAAATATGTAATAAATTTAATTTTTATGTTATGTTTTATTTTATTACATTGTTTCACTTATTTTTTTATATTTGATTCTATTAGTTTAATTTATTTTATTTTTATTTGAGTTGTATGTATTTTGTTTTGTCCCACTTTATTTTGTTTTCTTTTATTTTACTTTATTTTATTTTAATACTTTTTCTATTTTTTTGTATTTTATTTTATTCCATTCTTTATTTTCCTTTGTATTAATTTGAGTAAAAAAATATATAAAAAATTTCAAAAGAAGAAAAAAAAAAATTAAAATAACTCTAAAACGCTCTTGGCAACAACTCTTCTTCCTTCATTCCATATTCTTCCATTATTTTTTTTTGTAATTTCAACTCACCAATTGATGGCCGCACAATCGCCGCCGGCAGTCCAGACATTTCGGCCATTAACAAATTCTCCGACAAATTCTTGGTGAATGTATATGTATTCGGATGATCTTTTATAATTTCTTTACATTTCTGATCTGTGAAATCTTCCCATTTAGCATCATCTTCAGCCATTTTCATCATATCATATGGATCAAATTCTGATTTGTACACTTCTTCGATAATTAGGCCACGATTATTGCTATTACAAAAGGCAGTGGAGAGATAGATGTAGGCGGAGAGATTTTTCAATTTCTTAGCCAATTCAATGGTACGCATTGTACCGGTCACATTGGTCTTAATCGCCGTACGCAATGGTGAGCTGAATTTAATTGTGGCTGCGCTGTGATAGATCACATTCACCTTATCGATGAGTTCGTTGAGTATCGACTCGCTAAAGCCGAAATTCACCTCACTCAACTCACCAACAACGGGCACGACTTTAGCGAGTGATTTCTCATTGAATTTTTGGAAGATCTGTGGGTGGATAGAGTTTAGGAAAAGAATTTATTAGATCCTTTATATACATAACAATGGTAAAAGCATACACATACAAACATATATAAATATAATAAATAATAAAATTTATAATTTCTATATTTAAATCATAAATTCTACCATCCAAATGATATACATATTTTTTCATAGTTTATACATTTAAATATAATGTATATAATGTAACTCTGACGCGATTTCGAGCCGAGCTCCTACTCCAATTTGTGTTGTGCCTCTTGATCTTTTACCGACTAATGGGGGGACCTACAGTTTATTCTAAGCTGTCTCCGAAGGGCCGATGAATTTTTATGAGGGGCTATATTTTCATGTCAGAACTCGGAGGGCTTGACATTCCCTACTGAGGGGCGACGGAGGGAAAAATCATAAAACCAACCGCTAAAAGAGAAGAAACTTCAGTGTAGCTACTTCGATATACTTGGTTGAAGTTTCACTGCGGCATCTGTTTACCAGGCTAGGGTGAGCAAGCGGTTCACTTTATAAATGTACCCTGGTGTAGAGTCCGCCACTAAAAAAAACTATTTTAATAAAAAAAAGACAAAAGCAACAGATGAGAGCTTTCAATCTTAATTTTTGAAGATCGCGTCCGAAACATTAATGACTACGATTTGAGGGCATACATCTGGAGCGTCCGACCTGTTAGTTAAGAAGGTACCGCTGCCGAGCTGGTTGATGTCCTCATACGATTAAGGGCTACATCACCGCCTTCCAGAAGATGCTGAATAAATGGAAGAATCATTGCAGCATTTATCATTTACAGTGGAATTTTGGATTTGGACTTGTGGTGGCAGTGTAGCTCTGCCACCAGGTACTACTGTTCTCTCTCCATCGAGACTTTGTCAGGAATTGAAATATGAGCAATTAGCTGTTTTTACCCTTCGGATGGAAGAACGATAAATATGTATGCGTGTCTTAAATATGTATTTTATATTCTACGAACGTTAGTACTTTCAAGCACTGTAGCTTTCAGCTGCTGTAGCTGAAATCACTTTTGGCGGCTTCGATGAGGAAGTAGGTCAGTCATAGATAATGCTTTGGCTGATTTTTAGATGCATTAAATCGATTAAGCTGAATGGCAGACCACAGAGAGAATACTTTTAGCTTAATTAGGCAACCGATTGTTGGAATTTCGAGGTTTCTGTCATTCGGCGAGAAAAGCAAAATTCGGTTTAATTCGATCCAAATGCGGACAAACTTTGAACAGACAAGAAATAATGGTACACTGTAAGTCCCAGTCCAATCACGATAGGACGCGTTTACACTTCAGCTGCTAAAGTGTTCATGGGCTGAAGTTTCACGCATTAAAATTCGGTTGAGATTGCTTCTGGCCAAATTTGTCTTAGAAGATGGAAAATCATTGATTTATCGACACCCACTCGACCGATTTGCAGCTTCAGGAAATTCATGAGGCTACATAGAGAGCACTGATCGTACAAGAACTTAAAACGTCATATTAACAGAGCTCGGCCACAAGCTATAGAGTGACTCAAGCAATTATTATTATAATTGTAATGTCAAGTTGAGATGAAAAAAAGGTAAAAAATTAAGTTGAACATAGTGTAGGTCACACAAAATTGCTTTTATGCTCTTCCACATGCGTCGTGGTGCCGACGTTACCGCCAACGAACAAATTAAATTCCATTAAGTTAATAGTAGTATGTCTTTCGCCAGCTGTCAAGCTCCCTCTTAATGGCAATTTTCTACAATTATAACAAAATCTTTTTTGCTTACAAATTTTCTCATAATTTTTTTTTTATTATTTTTTACTTTTATCTGGTCAGCCTACACGCCCGTCGGCTCAACAAAATTTCTTTGTGAATTTTTTAATGACTTGTAAACTGCAAATTTTGATTTTATTGTGCAATTACAATTAAATTTATTGCATTTGTGTGAGAAGCGGTGAAAAAAGGAAACAAAAATGAAAATTAGTAACAGTAAGCAATAACAATAGCATTACGCACAACAGTGGAACGTTGTGTAGACAGTCGCATTAATGAACTACTAAAGTCGCACTTTGTGTGCCATTAAATGCGCGTTTATTGTGAAAAAAAGAAAAAAAATATCTGTTTCATTTATTCATGCACTGCGGACAACTGTTTTGTATTGCTATAGCGTGTGACAGTGTAGTTGCTGCGGCGCATGCGTAACATTCAAGCGCAGCGAAGAGAGTAGCCAACGGTCAGTGACTTTACGTGTGCGTAGGCGGTGTCACAAAGGCAGAAAAGCAAAAAAATATGCAATAAAATGGAGAAATTTTTTTCTTTATAACTAAGAAAAAGTATAATAATAACAAACAGCTATATTTAACTAAAACAGTAAAGAAAAATTTTATGAAAAAATGTAACTAAAAAACTTAAAAATCCAAAAAAAATATCCATAGGTATTTTAAGTGCTTTTTCATGTCAACTAATCTCTAAATAAATAAATTTATTCATCTTTCTAATTCTCCTTTGTACTTATTGTTTTCCCTTCACTTTTCGGCGTTTTCAAATTTTTTGGCTTTCGCAATTTTTCTTTTTCACTTCCTCAATTATTATTTCTTCATAATTTCCAACGCATTTAACGCATCAAAAGCACATCCGTTCGTATTTTCGTCAAATGTCGCAGTTCGCTGAGTATGAACTGCTCGTCTGTTCGTCTGCTCGCGCGCCTCTATACGCGGCGGGTAGGCGGGTAGGCGGTTATGGCTGGGTGCTGATGTGTTGTGGTTTTAGTGATGCCTTCGAGAGCGAGCGCGCTTTTCAATTAAGCTTAGCTTGCAATGCTTGAGTGAAAATGTGAATTATATAGTCATTGTAGATTGTATTTAGTATCGGTCTTTTGTTTGGGTTAATTTGTAGACATTTGCTTTTTTATGTCACACTTTTTTCTGGTATTAATACACCGGACTGTCTAGTTCTACCGGCAGGTAAAAAAGTCTTAATTTCTTGCTATTTCATTTCACTTTATTTTATTCCATTTTATTTCACTTTTTTTAATTTTATTCTATTTTTTTAATAAATTTTTTTACTTTGTTTTATTTCATTTTATTTTAATTTATTACATTTAATCCTATTTAATTTTATTTTCCTTTCTTTATATTGTTTTATTTCATTACATTTCCATTTATTTTTTTTTATTTTCCGTTTTTTCATTTTATTTCATTTCATTCTTTTTTTTTATTCTATTTTATTTTATTTTAATTTATATAAATTGTTTAATTAAATTTAAATTAATTTGATTGGATTTAGTTTGGTTTAATTTATTTAAAATAGTTTAGTTTTTCTCATTTTATTTCTCTTTTTTATTTAAATTTAATTTAGTATAATTACTTTATTTTATTTTAAATTACTTGTTTTATTCAATATAACTTTTTTTCATATTTAATTTAATTTTACTTTATTTAATTTCATTTATCTTAATACAATTTCATTGCAATTGTTTAATTTTATGTCACTTGTTATATTTTGTTTGGTTTTATTTTGATTTATGTTGTTTTGTTTTATTTAAATAAATTTTTCTTACTTTATTTTCTTTTATTTTATTTTATTTCATTTATTTTATTTTATTTTATTTTATTTTATTTTATTTTATTTTATTTTATTTTATTTTATTTTATTTTATTTTATTTTATTTTATTTTATTTTATTATTTGTTCTTTTGATATATTTTAATATTTCTTATTTATTTTAAGTGGACTTAATTTAATGTAATTTAATAATTTAATAATACTTTTTTATTTTATTTATTTGTGTTTAATTTTAGTTTAATTTATATTATTTTAATTTTTAATTTAATTTCATTAATATAGCTTAGCACTTCTTTTTTTATTTTATTTTATGCTATTTTTACTTTTTTTATTTTATTTTAAATTAAATGTTCTTTTAATATATTTTAATATTTGTTATTTACTTTAAGTTGTTTTAGTTTAATTTAATTTAATAATTTAATAATACTTTTTTTATTTTATTTATTTTTGCTTAATTTTAGTTTAATTTATATTATTTTAATTTTTAATTTAATTTAATTAATATAGTTTAATACTTTTTATTTTATTTTATTTTATTCTATTTTTTATTTTATTCAATTTTCTTTTATTTTGTTTTTTTTTTTGGGATTTGTCAGTTTCTTTTCACATTCTATTTTTTCGTTTATTCTTAATTACAGATGGTTAAATCCCCCTCTTTTTGTGCCAAAGCTCCAAACCCCATCAATACAGGTTATTTCCGCATAAATACAAAATTTGCTAAGGCTCCTTCTCCCATGCCCCTATAGGCTTTATCATTATGGGTTTTAGATTACTATCCGTCTTGAAAAATCGCTGCCCGCTTTGTAGTGTGAGAGTGTAATTGCCTTATCCAGGAAGGTGCATACTTGGAAGAATAAGAAGATTATTTATGTTAGTAGTTTTTGTCACTCACAGCCCTTGGCCGGTTAAAAATCCGGGTAGTACCGGTATAAAGACCCGACTTTCCCGGAAACTTTGCATTTTGAGAAGCCTTTTAGCGCTCTAAGTCCGGTGAGAAAGTCTTAATATTATTTAGAAAAAGTCTATAGCGTGACACTACCACTACGCTTACACATTTTTTAAAACAATAGCTATCTTATTTCCATTCCTCTCAGTCTACTTTTTGTAGTACTCACCGGTTTCTGCAACAAACGACTGATACGCTCGTTGGGATCGAACTTGCGTTTGCCTCTAACCAAAACATAAATAGTACCAATATCGGGATGCGTGTCCAGGAGTTCCTCAATCAGCACGGTACCCAGAAATCCAGTGCCACCAGTAACGAAAATATTTTTATGCGCAAAAAACTCCGGAACAGTAGAAATATTCTGCAGATTCTTCTCATTTTGATCTTTGAGTCTTAGCTCCTCATTGCTGCTGCCGCTGCTGCTGCCACCGCTGCCATGCTCGCTGATGACAGCCATCGTGTAATTGAGATTTGTAGGCGGCGCCAATGTGATGGATTTCCAAAAAGTGGCGGCACGAGCAAGTGAAATATGACGACAACACGGGGTACAAAAGTCAAGGTGACTGTGAGGGGGGAATGTCAAGTGTGCGCTGAAAGGAAACAAAGAGAATTTATTAGATAATATAAGAAAAAGAAATAAAATAAATAAGTGAATGGGAGCTGCATAGATGTGTGTGAGTCATAAAAATATTCATAGAAATACAGTTGAAAATTTAATAATTTTTTTTCCTCACTCAATAAACTTATAAATCGGTCAAAGCAAAAACAAATATTCTTATTATTTTCGAATTTTTTCATTTTCAGTTTTTTTCGATTTTATTTAATTTTTTTTCGATTTTTTTTTAGGCAACTCATGCACTTGACCGTCGTCGGAGTCGATGAAAACACCGCCGCATAAACAAACAAACAAATGGAGTTATGGTAGTAGCAGGTCTTTGGCTTGTCACGGCACGTCGACAGCGTGTTGTTAGTTTGGCCTTGTGCGCTTGCGCTTGCACCCAACCCTGGCCTTGGTGCGTGCGCGTGAGTATAAATTAGTAGTGCTGCTTCGCACGAAGATTTTATTAAGGTGTTGATTGAAATTGTTGTTGTTGTTGTTTATTAAGTATAAATAATTTTAAATTTATTTTGATTTTGTTCTTAAAAGAATTTAAAAAAAACTTGAAAAAGTTGAAAGAAATATTTTTTTTTTTAAGTCGCTCTTACACATTGTATGCTACCGTTAAATGCTGCGTTGACACAAACAAGTTTCATATATATATTTTTTTTGTATATATTATGTATGTATGATTACATATATATGTATGTAGGTATGCATGTGTACATTTTTCAAGGTTCTCATTTAAGATTCTGACTTTGACTTTGACTTTGGTTAGCATTAGTTTGCTGCTTAAGAACATATTTGTTGTTGCTTACGTGTATATGTTAATTAAGAAGATAGGCGCGTATAATACCAGTTGTTGTTGTTTGTTTGACGGAAAATTAATATTAATTTATTAATACAACTTATTAACTGATATGAACTTGAAAATTATAAAAACGTTTTTGATTAGAATCTTATTAACAAAAAAAAAAAAAAAGAATACAAAACTGCCTTGAATCGATGGTAGAAATAAAATAAAATATGTTTTCTTTAAAATATGTGGTTTTCAAAAAGAAATAAGAAGAAGAAGAATTTAATGCTATGGCCATGAATTTAGCTCTATTATAAATGTTTTGAAAATAATTGCGGGTAAGACAACGCCGCGACTGGCTCGAATAAATTCAAGTCGAATGATATGTCCAATGAAAAATACAATAAGTTTCAGCTAAGACATCTCACTTCTGCTGACGATCACTGTAGGTAGGTAGGTAGGTGGTTCAGCTGGCAGGTGAATCAGAAACGTTATACAATTCCACAGATAATCTGTCCACACGGCACCTACAGCCACTACAGCAACGAGAACAATAACAACAGTCCGCCAATACCTTTGCTAACTCTCATGACATATTCTTAACGATGAACGGTAGTTTTAATTGTGATATCAGAAATGCACTCGGAGCGCTTGGCATTCGCTGTCGAGCTGCGACGGCAATTCGAAACATTACTTTTCGGAAATTTTGGATGTTTGGCAGACCAAGACTGGAAACCAGGTCTTCTGAATATTATGACACAATGAGGATGCGATTTGCCTCATCCATATGAAATGAGTTCTGACAGCAAAAAGAGACTATATAAAATTGATGACATTTTCCGGGCATATTTCAAATTGAGTCAGACTACTCTACTGTTGTTAATGAAAAATTATAAAAAGGGTTTGGAAAATTGAAAAAGATTTTTTTGAACAATTTTCGAAAATGTTTAAGTCTGACTAACTGAATTACAACAGAAAAAAAGGGGAAAATTTTGTGAATGAGCAAACAAGTGAAATAAATAGGCTTATTCGAGAAATTTTTTTGAGTTTTTTTTCAATCATTAAATAGTAGATAAAACAAATATGGAGGACCTCTGATATAATAATTTATATGAAAATAAAAATTTTCCATTTTGTAATTTTTTTTCATAATTTACAAAACGATTATTTTTAGAGAAATTAATAAAAAATAGCTCAGTGGCTCAGCAAGCGGATGTTTTAACTAAATAAAAGCACTTTTGAATAAGCAAAAAATGTAAATAAATCATTTTTGTTAGAATTACCAAAACCCTTATTTGTTATGCTCAAAATTTTGTTAATATCTTTTTATATTTTTTTTTGTAAAAATTTAGTTTTTTAATAAATGGCTTGCCATTTTTAATTATAAAAAAATTAAAAAAAAATTAAATGATGTTTTTAGAGTCTTTTTAATTAGTTTTTTATTTAATTTTAGAAAAATTTAATATTTTTTGTTTTTGTGATAAAAAAATTAATTAAAAATAAATAAACAAAAAATCAAAATAATAATAAAAATAGAAAAAGATCCACATTAAATACAGAGAAGACTACTCTTATTTTCCTTCTCTCCTTTTTTAGTCACATATTTTTATTCTTTTTTTTTTTTCTTTTTAGTCACATATTTTTCAGGCAGTAAGAGGTGCATACATATTGACATGCATACCTTAGTAGCGCCCGACTGTCTGTCTGTGCATATCAAATGTAAGCTAATGCAGTTTTTGAGATATTTATTTTTCAAAATTAATTTATGCCTGCTTTTTAACCGAAATTTTTTTTATGTATTTTTTATATTGGCTTTTGAGCTGCGGTGGAAATTTTTGAATTTTCTATAAACACTTTACTATGTATGTATGTTTATACTCACATACATGTCCGCGCACATGTACCCAAGAGATCAATGAATGAATTTCATTTTTTATGATTCATGATTTTTAGGGCCTCAAATAGTTTTTGCGTCTGCTTATAGTTTTATTTATATGTAGTAGGCCTCTTTTTTTCTTGGAATGTGTTGTATTGGTATTTGTGTCAAGGTCACACTGATTATCTCTGGGGTTATATATATATATATATATATATATATGCATATTGTAAACGAATAAAAAGCAAATAAAATTATAAAACAATCTAACCGGAACTAGTTGATTTTATGAATTTTGTTTTTGTAGCGGTAAGACTTTTGAAGTGTAAATTACAGCTGAGTGTGTGTGATCAGAGAAGGAAGATACGGCAACAATAAAAGTTTTCAATTAAAAAATAATTTAAATATGGGTGTGTGTGCAAAGGTGGCGGTGTCTAACGAATTTAAAAGTATATCTAAAAAATATATACTACACTGCTTGGATTTCTGATAAACTTTTAACAACTTCAGTATACACAATTTCAGCTAAAGAAAAGGGGGATTTTTTTTTTAAATATGTGTGACTAACAGTTGTTTTTTCTTACCATAATTTGTATATTTATATATAGCTCGGCACAAGAAAATCTTTTCATTTCATACCTATGCAAAGCGATGAGTCTTACAAGTTGTAAGTGAGCAAAAAAAAAAATTGAGGACAACTTTCAAAAATAAAACAATAAAAAAAAAAAAAAATTTGTAAAAAATATTTTAAGCGTCAAAAAAAAATCTAAAATATTCACACCGAATTCCCCAAAGTACTATTCCCCCTTCTAAGTTATAGTTCCTCATATTTCTATTGGTTTTTCGCTTCACATTTATTGCCATTTATTCTTCTACTCAAACATTTATCCCACGCGTAACACACAAACACACACACACAAGCACAAACACACACACACAAGCACAAACACGTACATGCACAGTGGACACACCCATGAGCAAGTTCGTCGCTTGAGTCTTTTATATTTAACTGCTGCTGTTGCTGCCTCTGAAGAGCGCTTTCATGTATTTACATGCATACATATTAGCAATGAAGCAAATACTTTGTTTGATACATCATCATCTCAAGCTTGTCTTAAAATTTAACGGCAAAAATTTCATATTAAAAAAGCATAAAAAAGCGTATGTCAATATTGATAGTTTTAAAAGTACAAAAAAACGAAGAAAAAAAGACGGAATTATTAAAAAATAGTTAAGTAATGGCTATGCACAGAACAATGAACTGTCTTGTATTCAGTAGTGGTGAATGGGTATTTTGGAAGCGCGCCTAGAGATGGAAAAGGCGTGTTTTGTAGTGCCAACAGGTACTACTTTGGACTTTGTAAGCAATTGAAAAGTTAAGGCCTCTCTCGACAAACAAAGGCTAAACTCTACACTCCCCTCTCGCTATATGATGACAACATCTAATGACTCAGCCTTGTAAGTCTTCGAGAGAAAAGTCTTGGGAGCGATTTATGGTCCTTTGCGCATTGACAATGGGGAATACCGCAGACGATGGAACGATGAGCTGTCATTGGTCAACGGTGTCTGCGCAATGAAGAAGAAGAAAAGTGTGATCATATAAAATTAGTGTTTGAGTATTATTCAATTTAATTCAATTTATTAATGCTTTTTCAGGTCATTGTGTCTGTTAAATTGTTTTTGGGTTTTTTATGGAACTGTTTCAGACCATATATATTTGTTGGAAATAGTAAAAAATTTACAACAATAGTTTTGGAATAGTTTCAATTTAATTTAAATTTTTTTCCTCTGCTTTATTTTATTTATTCAATTATTTTTAATTTTTTTTAAATTTTACTTATTCTATTTTATTTTTTCTTAACTTAAATTTTTTATTTAATTTTGTTCTTTTATATAATTTAATTGATATTAATTTTATAAATTTTACATAATTCTAATTTTTTATTTTCTTTTATTTTATTTATTTTTTAACAGACTTATATTTTTTATTGTATATATAATGTTTAAATCATTTTATTTAGCATTTGATTCAATTTAGTTTTTGTTTGTTTTATTTCTTTTAGATTTCATATTAATTCATTTTATTTTAATTTATTTTATAATATTTTTTTTTTAATTTTTATATGATTGTATTTTATTTCATTCTATTTTCTTTTAATTTACTTAATTTTTCTTATTTTATTTTCA